ATAATATAGTATAATATATATAAAATATAATATAATTTAATAATTCATACAATATAATTTAATATTATACAATACAATTAATATAAATCAATTGGTTTTGGTTCAAGACAATCGGTATTAAGTGGTACTGGACATTAAGTGGTATTATCGATTAAAAAAAACATTTTCATTCCTTGAAATAAAATAAACATAATTTAGGCTTATTTTATTTCAGCTAGTTTCTACTTTCATTTTCATTTAGTTTGAATTAAAGTACTGAAATAACTAAAACTAACTAAACAAAAACGGAAACTTAATAAAAATGATATAGCCATTAAAAAATAATAATAAAAAAAGGCCAATAACACAACAAAATTACTAAAATTTTAACTACAATTAAAAATAAAATGTAAAAATATTAACAAAAACTATAGTATATCAATTATAATAAAATAACACTGGACCCAACATAGAATCCCACAGGTCTTTGAGCACTGGCCAATCACAGGACTCCAAACATAAACTGGAACCATTCTGGAGCGGGGCATTATGTGGGTGTCTGTACGGATCAGCTGGGTATTGAGAAGACATTTTTGAACAGATCACAAATAGACCTTATGTGTCAGAGAAACAAGTTTTTCTCTGAACTTCTGTTTTTGTGGTAGCTCTGTAGCATCACCATTAAAGAGTAATTAGCTGGTGAAGTGGATTTACTTATTGTAGAGTTAACGAAGTTATCACGTGCATTCAAATGTTCAAAGCGGATGTCATAACACATTAGTAGACCAGGACGATTTTAAAACGAGTGGTTCATTCATACCACTGCGTCTTAGTGACATGCAACTCTTGATGCTTTGGCTTCTTTTGAAATACTTTTTGTTTGCAAAGAATAATATACCTACTTATTGGCCATTTTTAAACCTAAATGACTTGATATTGATTTATTAATTTACGATTTACGACGGTTATATTGAATATCTGTTATATCTGTTATATCAATCTGAATATCTTGAGATTGTGCTGATATTCAGTACAGCAGCACTCTTACTTGTGTGACATTGCTTAATTATTTTCTGATGTCAATAATATATGCTGAATTCATTTTATAACACAGTACCTCTCTTTGGGAATCCCAGCCGACAGGACAAACGTCCACCACACAGGGAACGTGTTCTGGCGGTTTGGGTTCAGGGCACAGGTTTTGGTTAACCTCAGAATCAGATCCATGATGTTGAGCGGACACACGACACTGTTCTCTGAGCCTCCCCGGGTCCACACACAGCCGAACACTCGCCAGGCTCGGACACCTGCCATCTACAACACTCACACACACACACATATGCGCATGAATACACACACACACGACTGCAAGAGTGAACAGCAGTCATTTGAATGTTAAGGTGAACATTAAATCTAAATTGACCTGATGCCAATGTTATTTTAGGGCTGTTGATGCCCGATACTGTCTTAATAAATTTTCTGAGTCTCATAGTGATGGATTCATCTGTGCATTAAAAAATGTAATCTTTATAATCCTGTTCTTTAGACATTTCAGCTTTGGACTGTCTAACTTGCTAATTCATTTAATTCTCACACACTTTTGCACGTTACCTGGCAGGACAGATTTGGGGGTTGCAGGTCTCAGTAGTTTGGGGTTTCGAGTCAAGCGTACAGTCTGAGTCAGGCAGCTCTACTTTCACCTTACCCTGCTTCTGAACACATGTGACAGAGCGCACTCGCTCTCCCATGCCACAGGGGGCGCTGCAGGGTCCAAACTCACCGACCTCCCAGCTACAACACATGCACAAAATAAACAAAGACCCTGTCAACAATCATAAGTAGTCTTTTGAAACATAAAAGGGTCTCATTGACTTTACAGACATGGCCAAATGAAGTCAGTGGTTTCCTATTTGGCTGTACTCAAGAAAAAAGCTATTAATCCAATTCTTTGCCAATTTTTCTGATATGTTTAAAAGGCCAATGATTCCTCTGAGGCAAAACTATGAATCTGAAACACTGAAAGGCACCTGGGTGGGCAGTCGGGCTGGAAGCAGGGCTGCAGCTGATATGGTGTTCGAGGGTGTGAACTACAGAGCTCATCTTCCAGACGCTTGAGTGTGAGACCATCCACACAGAGCTGACTGATTTTCTGGATGCCTACAACAGAGAGAGAGAGAGAGAGAGAGAGAGAGAGCAACCAGAGAGCAACCAAATTCATGGGCAAGACAATATTATGCAATTGGATTGTATTTAAATTTATTACAAAACAGTATTAAGTTAACAAAACTTCTTACTTGTAGCATGTTTTATGTGCAGAATGTCACTGCTGATGTGTTACTTGTGCCGCAGGTGACTGAGCATGCAGATATGACAGTGGACCATCTGCCTTCAGCAGCTCTCTCAACTGAAACAGCTTCAGACGAGTAGTACTGGTATGAGATGTTTGGGGTGGTAAGGTCTCCATACTCTTGCCCGTATTTCCGAAACACCTACAAAATGAGCAGTTTTTGTTACAAACAATGATTTTTGAACATTACCATATAAAGTCACAAATAACAAAGGTCCAGTAACAAAGAATGGTGGTACACACCTGTATGTGGATTTTGTCTGTGATTGGTCCAGAGATCGTGAGCTCTTCAGTTTGAGGCAGGTGGTCAGGTGTGAGGAACAGGTTATAGATTATGGGGCTCTTCTCCAGAGGTGAGGGGTATGTGATGCTCAGGCCTGGGCTTCCATCTCCAGACACCACATATTTATCATTTGATAACACCGCTGCAGGAAAAAAGAGGGACATTTCTTACATATCATTTTTTGAACTGTATTGATTATTTATTAGGACATGCTGTACTCAGATACCATATGAATGTCTGTCAAAGTAACAAATGCCACAACAAAGCCAATCCTTCCAGACTGATGCATTTAAATTGACTGGTTACATGGTTTACACCCCTAAATAGTACACATTCATAAGTTTGGGGCCAGTAAGATTTCTGATAGAAATTAATACTTTTTTCCAGCAAGGACGCATTAAATTGATCAAAAGTGACAGTAAAGACCTCTATAAAATTAGAACAGATTACTATTTCAAATAAATTATGTTTTTTTTTTAACTTTCTATTCGTCTGAGGGTCCTAATAAAATGTATCAGAGTTTCCCCATTAAAATGATTTCTGAAGGATCATGTGACACTGAAGACTGGAGTAATGATACTGAAAATTACGCTTTACTATCACAAAACTAATTTACATTTTAAAATATATTAAAATGGAAAACAGTTATTTTAAATTGTAATGATATTTGACCATATTTCAGTTTTACTGTATATTTCATCAAATAAATGCAGCCTTGGTGAGCAGAAGTGATTATTCCAAATTTTGGATTTGTTCTGTATATGAAGTCTCTGTATCTTTAAAGGTATCTTTAAAGTATCTTTATCGTTATCGTCCTTGGTGTGAACAGGCCTTAATGCTTGTAAAATTAGTGACAGAATAGTAAAGAACATAGTTTTTATTCTAAACTATTTAATACTGAAATCTTCCACTGATTTCATTCTCTAAGATACACAACCACAAACCCTCTTATTCCATCATACAACACAATTTCAATGCTAAACTGTGTGTAAAAAACAGAATTGAGTTCTTCTAACAGGATGCTTGTAAAATTAGAGACAGAATAGTAAAGAACATAGTTTTTATTCTAAACTATTTAATACTGAAATCTTCCACTGATTTCATTCTCTAAGATACACAACCACAAACCCTCTTATTCCATCATACAACACAATTTCAATGCTAAACTGTGTGTAAAAAACAGAATTGAGTTCTTCTAACAGGACTGACAACTGTATTCTGCTGAACGTAGCTATACTCACCAAGGTGTGTAAAAACCGGCTTCGTGTTAATCACATGAACCTGAGAGGCGTTCAGAGGAAGACTGAGGAATGTGACATACTCTTGAAAAGACAACAGGCAGAAAGAGGTTATTGTTCATATTTGAAAGTAAATGAATGGACAAATGACCTCTACTTACCTCCAGCTTCTCCGCCTGAATAGGTGTTTGAGATGAACTGACAGGTGGAGCCATTACCCCCACACACCCCACACACATCCTCCACCTTCCCAGAATGCATTACTCCATCACAGCCAAACAGCTAACCCAGAAAGTAAACAGTATGGAGAAATTTACTTGTTTAATTATATTCATACTCTGTCCAATTTTACTCAAAAGGTGGGTGAAAACATTTCAGTACTATTAATACTGAAGTCCTCTAAATTTTCTTGAGTGAAACTCAAGATGGCACCAGTTGTGTTTGTATGAAACAAAATAGATTAAGTCAGTATGGAAGCTTATTTCTAACATGGAATAAAAAATAAAACTGGTAAACATGACTTTTTATCTCACAATTCTGACTTTATTCTTGAAATTATGAGTTTATATCTCATAATTCAGACTTTTTTTGAGATATAAACTCGCACAGAAAAAAAAGTTGCAATTACCTTTTTGATTTTTTTATTCGATGGCGGAAACAAAAAAAGGAATTCTGAAAAAAAAAGTCAGAATTGCAAGATGTAAACTCAGAATTCAGATAAATAAATTCTAAATTGTAAGATGCAGCCTCATAGTAATGTATAGATGGTGCAACCCTTCATTTGACTAACATGACCTACAGAGGCCCAGAGTAAACATGCCCGGTGGCTGTTACCTGCCGATTACAAAGTTCAGCTTCTGTGTCCTGTCCTTTACACACGGTACCACCAAAGGCTGGCCTGAAACAGAAACATCACTATGAATACATATATCTGCACTGCATCTAATTCCAATCACTAGTTACTGCATACTACTACATATCAAATTTCTAGTACAAACACAAAAAGCACAAACACCAAATTTCGGTCTTTGTACTGCCTTGGTACATTGAGACGTGTTATTTTTCTATATGCTCCTATTTCTAACAGCAGTTGTCATATTGTCTCTCTCACCTGGGGTTGTTGCACTGTCTCCTGCGGTAAGTGATTCCTCCTCCACATGTTCTTGAGCAGACAGACAATTCAGACCATGAAGACCATGAGCCGTGAACCATCATGGAGGAACCCAAAGTAGAAGGAGACACACACCGGCCCTTCAAACACCACTGCATCGAACAACATCGAAAGAGAATGATTAAAACAACATCGAAAGAGAATGGAATTAAATCTGTATGTAATACATATTAAAACATAATGGTGAATTTCCTTTTTATTATCTCAAACATATTCCATAAAATGCAAAAAAATATATGTAGATGCATACAAGTATTCTTTCTTAAGAATTCAGTGTCAATAAATGTTGGTCATAGCAGTCTGTCACCTGACTGGGCCCACACTCCGTCCCGTCCAAGAGTGGAACAAGGAGACGAGTGCATGAGCTACGGTCCCGAGGGTTGATATGGCAGGACAAAACACGACAGGTTGCCTTGATGACAACAGAAAGAAAATATCAAACCTTAATGGAAAGTCTGAGTCAAGATATTTATTGACAAAATGAAAATTACAAAGCTTTTTGGGGTTTTAAAAAATGGCAGTTTTTCAATATGTTACGCCCAAACTTTCTATATCAATAAGAAAGATGTCAACATAAAACAGAGTACTATGCTGGTCAAGTGATTTCAGGTCTTAACAGCACTAGCATGGCAGTAAATGTCTTACTCACCATATCACCATTAGTGAAAGAGCAAGCAGTAGCCGAGCTGCCAAACGCTATACGGCACTGATCATCCACTCCATAGAAGAGACCAGGCCTCCAGTCCTGCACTGAAGCACCCAGCACCGGCACATCCTTCACACACTCCGCCTTCCCGGCACTGCACAGACAATCAACACACAGTCATCTTATGAAGAAAACTGAACATCTTCAGTCGGTAAGAGGTTTTAATGTTTTTGAAGTCTCTTATGTTCACCAAGGCTGCATTTATTTGATTTAAAAATACAGTAAACAGTAATATTGTGAAATATTTTTGTAATTTAAAATGTCTATTTTCTATTTAAATTTATTCCTGTGATCAAAGTAGTTGCTATGCTTCATATTTTTGTTTTGCTCTTCAGGATTTCTTTGATGAATAGAAAGTTCAAAAGAACAGTATTGATTTGAAAGAGATTTTTTGTAACAATGCAAGTCACTCTTAATGCAACCTTGCTGATTTTATTTTTCTTATTGACCACAAACGTTTGTTTAGGTCAAATGGATTAATATAAAATACAATAAATAAACATGGTGCAAATAAATAACTAAAATGGACCCAAAAAGAATTGGTGTTCTTGACATTTTATTGATGAATAGTAATTGGGGTTTAAGGGTGATCCTCAAAAAGCCTTTTACAAGCATGTCACATTTTGCTAAAAATAATAATATATATATATATATCATGTTTTTGTTATGTTTTTTTTACATTTAAATCAGGGGGAAAAAATTGAATTCTGCAATTTGTGACAAATGTTCAATTAAAAAATTTAACTGCTATTATAATTTATAATAACAATTGTATTATTATTATTATTATTTAAATTCACAATAGTATTTTTATTAGTGGTCTCAGACCTTTGGCGGCTGATGTATATGTGTGTTATACAGTAAGTGACTGACACCTGAAGAAGTTACACACAGTCATCTTATGAAGAAAACTGAACATCTTCAGTCGGTAAGAGGTTTTAATGTTTTTGAAGTCTCTTATGTTCACCAAGGCTGCATTTATTTGATTTAAAAATACAGTAAACAGTAATATTGTGAAATTTTTGTAATTTAAAATGTCTATTTTCTATTTTAATTTATTCCTGTGATCAAAGTAGTTGCTATGCTTCATATTTTTGTTTTGCTCTTCAGGATTTCTTTGATGAATAGAAAGTTCAAAAGAACAGTATTGATTTGAAAGAGATTTTTTGTAACAATGCAAGTCACTCTTAATGCATCCTTGCTGATTTTATTTTTCTTATTGACCACAAACGTTTGTTTAGGTCAAATGGATTAATATAAAATACAATAAATAAACATGGTGCAAATAAATAACTAAAATGGACCCAAAAAGAATTGGTGTTCTTGACATTTTATTGATGAATAGTAATTGGGGTTTAAGGGTGATCCTCAAAAAGCCTTTTACAAGCATGTCACATTTTGCTAAAAATAATAATATATATATATATATCATGTTTTTGTTATGTTTTTTTACATTTAAATCAGGGGGAAAAAATTGAATTCTGCAATTTGTGACAAATGTTCAATTAAAAAATTTAACTGCTATTATAATTTATAATAACAATTGTATTATTATTATTATTATTTAAATTCACAATAGTATTTTTATTAGTGGTCTCAGACCTTTGGCGGCTGATGTATATGTGTGTTATACAGTAAGTGACTGACACCTGAAGAAGTTGTGGAGCTGAGCTCTGCTGCACTGGGACCATGTGAGATCAACACTGTTATAACCTCCATCAGATGCCATCATAAACCCACTGGAGCTGCATGTGTTGTCTATTCCATCATGATTTATGCCAAAACTAGAAAAAACAATAAGGCAAGAACAATTACGATTATGTGTTCAGTTTCACCTCACATTTCAGCATGGTAGTATGACTCTGAGTTTTATAATGTTGTCAAGCTCACCTGTGGCCAATCTCATGAGCGATGGTGATGCCAAGATCAAAGCCTGTATCCTCTGTAATCACACAGTTCCATTGAGAGGAACAGACTCCGCCCAGCTGGGTCACACCTCTCACAAGCTTATTCCCATTGGGTAACACCAGATCAAACCTTAATGATGTCAAAGAGAGGCACTAAAATGCAAGTGTGCAGAAACACTTGATAGTAATATTCTGGTATTTCAAACATTTTAGCAAGATATCTAACAACTTGCTCCAAAAATTGATTTGCACTTATATATTGCACTTGCATATAATATAATATAATATAATATAATAATATATTATAATAATTATAATAATAATGCATTTTTATTTAATATATAAAAATGGCTTCATCTTTTAAGAGTTTTAGGCATTATTTTATACCGGACACACAGCAAGTTCCATAAATTAACAAATCGCTTACAAAGTCAATTTGAGAATTACCCAATAAAGAGACTGTCCTTTAATTAAGAGTGCTCTCTATGGTTTTAGTCCACACCTGGTAATGTATAACAGCAGATCTGCATGTAAAGGGTCAGTGTCAGCATCAGGGTTGACCTTCTGACCCCACTTGCACACACTTTTTAGAGAAGAAGTGATGTTTTCGGAGATCTGGATGTCTGGCTGTGGATTAAAACAAGCTTTATTGTCCTTGTGGATTAACATAATGGCTGTTGTGTACATCATTAGGTCAAACAGCTATTATTACCTTTGGCTCTGTGAGAATGACCATACGGACAAGATTAACTCTTATACTGGCACCGAGAGTAACATCTCTAAGAAGCTCAGAGGCCTGCAAGAGTAGAAAAGATATTTAAACAACACAAAGTATCTTGGGTAGGCACTAATCCAATCCTATTCCATATATTGTACATGTCAGATTTATTTTACTTGAGTATGCATTTAAATCCAATGTCTTTTTTGTAACTGAAAATGTAGATTAAACACACACATACAATGTTGAGGTTTGTCAGGATGTATCTCTCAGTGTCTTGCCTATGAGCATCATAGACATCTGGACCCACCACCACTGCTAGCTCCAGATGTGTGACCTCTGACCCCAGAGGTGTCCTCCGTAACCTGAACTGACCTAAGGCAGATGCAGATCACACAGTTGACACTTAATATAATTATCGTTAGTTTTGTAGTTATTGTTTTTGGTGTGACTGGGCATTAATTACTTCAAAAATTGTGTATTACATTTTAGAAAGCTCTAAGTTTGATCAAAGCAGCACTTTGTATAGTCTATTTACTGAACTTGATACTGAACTTGATTCGGTTTATAGGCACAATTGCAGCTATACTGATGTTAAGACAAACAGCTTTATTGCAAGCGTGATATTTCTTCTATTTAACAGTTCAATAAATAAATAGTAACTTTCAGTATCATTGGTTATGTTGTCTGTTTTTGCTCCGTTAGCACTGCAGAAACATTGTGCGTTTCTGAGCAAAAAACAGTTTAGTTCCTTGAAAGAATCAGTGTTTTGTTCAAATTTGTTAAGTGAATAATTCAATGACTTCCTCAGGAAGACTTGTTTTGTTCCTGAATCCATGTTTTAATTTAATCTGTTAAGTGAATGATTCAGATACTCACTCAAAGACTTGCTCTGCATACAGATATGCCTACTATGTAGTAGACAAAAACCAGTATGTGAAATAAATAGTATGTCTGAATTAGTATTCATAAAACAGAAGGATTCCCAAGACAAAAGCACAGTGGCTAGATTAACAAATAACCAGACGCCACCCGATCTAAATATTCCCTCACAGTTTAATAGTAATGACTTTATGAATTTCTTCACTGATAAAATAAATAACATCAGAAATACAATAACAAATGAAGATTCTACAGCGTATAATACTTCAGCTTCATTCATCGCACCAAAAGATAAACTGCAGTGCTTTACAAATATAGGACAGGAAGAGCTAAATAAACATATCACTGCATCTAAACCAACAACATCTACCACTAAATATTGTAGAAACTTAATTTGCTGTAAAGTTGCTTTGCAATGATTTGTATCGTGAAAAGCGCTGTACAAATAAACCTGACTTGACAAAACGGATGACCTACTACTACCGCCGAGATTATGAAGTGTGCATCTGACACTTTAAGTTAGGTGACAATGAGAACATGGTGGATGTACAGTAGTATGTGAAAGTGAAAAAGTGAAAGTGACGTGACATGTGGCCAAGTATGGTGACCCATACTTGGTTCGGTGCCTTGCTCAAGGGCACCTCAGTCGCGGTATTGAAGGTGGAGAGAGCGCTGTACATTCACTCCCCCCACCTACAATCCCTGCCGGTACGAGACTCGAACCCGCAACCTTTGGGTTACGAGTCCGACTCTCTAACCATTAGGCCACGACTTCCCGATGTCCAAATTTCATTCACACTACACACATTTGTAGTATGTTGGCATACTTCTTGAATGGTCATGAAGTAAATTCAAATGTATTCAAAAGTAATACCTATACAGGCAGTATGTGATTTTGGACACAGCTTTGTTTTGTTCCTGAATGAATCAATGTTTTGAACTAATTATTTGACTGAATGATTCAAAGGACTCACTTATCAGTCAAATGTCGCCATCTACTGGCGTAACAATGTAAAATGCAGAAAGTGCTCTTATTTTTAGCTTATTTTACTTACTGCATTTGGTGCTCCTAGTGTGAATGATGAAACATCCATCAATGATTCTGTTACTTTCAACTGTGACTCTGAAACAATCTGTTTTGTGTTATATAAATAAATCAAGCGCTATATAAATAATGATTATTTGACTTGACTTGACTTGAACAGCACTTTGAATAGATGGATATAGATGTTTTGCTGTGGACATCAGGCCAGTGATAGGCTTATGGTCAATGATATGGTACTGTATACTGTGTATATTTAACCAGTGCAATGTTCACTCACTCTTAGGCTGTTTAAGACGTTTCCTCACTGGTAATGTGTGGGTTAATAGCAGGTGAGGTACACCAGAAGGTAAATCCATAGTAAGCTCCTTCAGATGGTCTATGTGTTTTTGAAGCACCGGCCGAATATTCAGCCTCTTCTCCCCTGACTGAATCAGACCTTGCTGAGGACAAATACAGACTATGATTAGAAATTTGTCTCCATATAGTACTGTATATGGACAAACACAAAGCACAGTAAAAAGCATCTTCTTACTAATTTGCCATGGCAGATGGGGAGAAGAGTTCTCGTATGCGCTGGTCTCAGTAACTTCAGCTGCTCGCAGCACATATCCTCTCTTTTCTTCACCACGCTGACCGTTGAGTTGATCACCGTCTCCAGACTCGTGGGACAAGACATGGGTTGTTCATCTCTGTGTTGGCCCAGCTCAAAGCTCTCTCCATCACTCTGAAACGAGCACCTCCATAGCCCTCTGAAAGACTCATTCCCTGAGCAATTCACCCACACCAGCTCAAAGTGAGGCACTGAAGAGAACAAACTACTAATGTCAGGGTGTTTACATGTTTAGTTAAAACAAACTGACTTTTTCAAGTCTTTTAAAAGCTCTAATTTTGTATTTATGAACCTATTTTGACTCCTCATTCGTGACTAGTATTTCTCAATATCCGTGAATCAGACTCACCTGATTTAACGGAAATAGTATCAAAATAATAAAATAAATCTTGAGGTTTCAGAGACTCTAAAAAATCCTGGCAAGAAAAAAAACAAAAATTTTATGAGATTTAATTAATTAATACAAAGGTTATATTGCACATAAATACTATAACGTTTCCATCACAAAAGGCAAAGTTCAATTCATTTAATAAATTAACACTTCCGTTCAGTTTGAGGTCAGTAAAAGAAAGAAATTAATTAACTTATACTGAGCAAGAATGATCAATTGTTATTATTTTCTTCTTCTTATTATTATTCTTTTGAACTTTCTATTCATCAAAAATGTCTGAAAACATATATATTACAGTTTCCACAAAAACAATATTAAGCAGCTCATCTGTTTTCAACACTGCTAATAATAAGAAATGTTTATTGAGCAGCAAATCAACATAGCTTTGACATCAGGAATAAATTACGTTTTAAAATATATTAAAATAGAAAACTGCTATTTTAAATTGCAATAATATTTCACACTATTACTGTTTTAACTGTACTGTAATTAAATACTGTATTTTTGTACCCTTTTTGTATCAAATAAATGATGCCTTGGTGAACGGAAGAGACATCTTAAAAAAATAAAATTACATATATATATATATATATATATATATAGTTGGAACCAAGTGAAGGTCTTTGTACATTTAGAAATAAAAGTTTTTCTCAAATAGGTCATAGATGTGCCTTTTTCCAAGCTTAAACACACTTACCTTCTGCAAAGTGCATTGTGAAATCAGTAGAGCTGTTGTTTTTATCAGGCTTGGAACCAGAAAGAACCAGATCAGAGTTCCCATGTTTGACCACATCTTGAAGCACAGGACTAATCAAATGAGGCTGAACATGCCAAGATAGCAATCAGCCTACCTTACCACTGCAATTTTGACTTCTGTTTGAAGTTGGTTGAAAGTGTCCTCTGCATAGACCGATGTCTCACACTTTGCCTGTTTAGAAAGATCAACATAAAAGTTTATTGATCAGCATGCATGGGCAAGCCCCACTGAAACACTGAGTTGATGAATGACAGACAATAGTTGTTGACACACCATGATCTGTGTGGAAGGTTACAAGCTGTGTTGTGGTTAGCTCTCCGTTGATGTCTGTTTTATTGATTTCTAACATTGCTGGAAAACTGGAAGAGAATTCTCATGTATGAACAAATTCCAAATCACAGTACATAAACACGATGTTATCCTAGCGGAGTGGGACACAACATTACAGAAATACTACTACAGCAATAACCAACGGTCAATTTATGAGATTACTCAATTAATTTATATCTAGAAGCTCTGTTTAGGTTTTCTGAGACAATGATTTTCAATTTTTGTCAACCACATCATTGTAGCTAATCATTAAAAAAAAAAATAGTAGCTATATTAGTAAAATTGGCATAACTAATATTGATTTGTAAATAACTGAATAATTCAATATTTTTGGTCTGGTACAAACTCTTAACTCTTTCATATTTCAGCAAATTTGCAAATGATTTATTAATGATATTTGGTGGGTCAAGAAGAGACCATATTTAAAATCTGGGATTATGGGAAGTCCGACTCATTTCTGTGAATCGGTTCTTTCAGTTCAATGAACTGGTTAAAAAATGATTCAGTGATTCTATTACATCATCACGACGCTAACAAAGCCATATATATGCATATATTGATGTTTACACCGGTTTTCTCTATTAATAAGGGTGTTAATTGTAATTTCCCAATCCCAGTTGAAAGAACGAATCCGCCCGTGAACGAATCGATTAATAAATCAATCAATCAATCAAACCGTAAACTTTGTCGTAAAAAAAATGGACTCTAACGATTCGGACATTGCTCTCAAAATCACCTACATTTGGCAATAAACAGATGTTTACACATGTTTTTGCTTGCATTCTCGAATCGTGTTGGATAACAAGATCATGTTTTGCACAAACTGGATTTTATTCAGCTCTCACACGCTGCTGCCATTAAAACAAAAGTGGCAACAAATGCTAAGGCATTCGGAAATTCATGTTAATTTTCAGTAAGGGTACACTCAAATTGTTGTACTGATCATGTAATTTGTAATTTAAAAAATTAAATTAGAGAAATGCGAATCAGAAACATGATCTAAAATGTTGATTCCTACTGTAAATCTACTTTACGTTTCTATATATAGCCTAGTTAGTAGTAGATTCTGCCATTCTATGCGACACGGGTCAGGATTTTATTTTAGTAATGTCGTCTGAGCTTTTATTTTGAAAAACGTCTTGTTTGTTGTCGCGGGCTTCGCGCTGCTGAATGAGGGAAGAGCGTGCGGTCAGTGGGCAGGTAAAAACACACAGCGTTGAGGGAGTGGAGAGGGGGAAGCTGAACTTCCCCTGAAGGCTAACTGTGCGTTCACACCGCCGGCGGCGAGAGCGTCAAAGTGACCGGAAGACATTCATTTTCAATGTGAGCGGGCGGCGAAAGGCGGCGAAAAGCGGCGAGGAGCGGCGCGGCGCGTCTGGAGAGGGTATGTCTGTGATGCCGAGAGACTGAAACAAAGCCATTACCGTCGACACGTAAAAAGAGCCCATGTTTCTAACTGGACAATGATTAATTGTTTACCTCACTCGATGTCAACACATTAGCGGCAGATGAGCTGTGGTCTGTTGACGGTTGTTCGTAGCATTAGCAGCGACGCGGCGTGGTGCAGACCAAACAGTTAGCCGAGACTATTAGCATCTGCTTGTTTTTACTCCCGTCTGCTCTGACTCTATCCAAAACTGACTGTAAACACATAAATAGGACGTAGTTATGTATCTTCACTTGCGTTAAAACGATATAGCAATGATATCGCACGAGTTTGTGTGTTTGTTGCTATGGGCCGTTTCAAGGTACTGTTTGTTTTTAGTCCGTCACGAAGGTGGATATACATGATGGTTGCAGCGAATTCAAACCGTTACCGTGGTTATTTTTAGTCGGCGCTTAGCTGAGATCTTTCCGTGGCTCAAAACGCACCGAGCTCCCTAACGTTACATAGACAGCGTTTTTGGCCGAACCGCACGTTAGGAATGCCTAACTATGCTATCTAAATAGGCGACTCGGTTGGTTTTGAGACGCTGCCCTTAAAGGGATAGACCAAAAAATGCGATTTGTTACTCTAATATCGTTTCCAGAATTTATCACGTCTGTTGTTTTTTTTGTTGAACTGTCCCTTTAAGACCGATGTGCTGTTTATATGTTGTTGCAACCGTGTTTTATTTTTTCAGGAGTGGGGTTTGGGTGGGTGTGTAAGTGGACACCAGTCCAGACTATGTTTGCATGGCTATATTTAAGTGCTGGACAGATAGAGAGGTGATAGTTTTACATGAGAAGTACAGTGCTGAGAGTTAAACTAGCCACAGGCCCGCTGCACCTGTCACCAAACCCTTCGTACACAAATGTCTTGGGAATATTTTTTTATAGTCTTGTATGCGAGTGTAATAATTTGATTCTGTTTCCTCTTCTCCAGATTTTCTATTTTGTACATATTGGCCTGCTGCACCTGTCACCAACCCCGCCGAATACAAATGTCTTGGGAATATTTTTTTTTATAGTATTGAGTGTGTGTAATAATTTGTTTCGGTGTCCTCTTCTCCTCCAGATTTTCTATTTTGTACATACATTATTTTGTATATACTGTTTATGATGACTTCAGTGGTCACTGATGCTGCCAGGGGCAATCGGGACAGAGCCCTACCACAAACCACACACACCTCACAGCCACAGAAACAAATACAGGTGAGCCGTACACACACTCTTCATCAGTTAAGTGTGGCGTATGCACAGGCCTGAGGACCAACGTGTGTGATCTGATTATGGAGGCATAACTGTGTCAACTGTCTCTAGGCCACAGCCGAACAGATCCGACTTGCCCAGATGATTTACGACAAAAACGATGCAGATTTTGAGGGCAAAGTCCAGCAGGTGAGTCATAAAAATGGAATTTACCATATAACACGGAATGTCACAGAATTTGGCAAAATTTGGATGAATAAATCAAAAGTGGGGCTCTACATTTAATCAAATTGCAATATTTTACTTTAAATAGATATCTATTTTAAATATGTGACCCTGGACAACAAAACCAGTCATAAGGGTCAATTTTTCTAAATTGATGTATGGTTTGTTAGGATAGGACGATATTTGGCTGAGATACATCTATTTGAAAATCTGGAATCTGAGGGTGCAAAAAAAAAATCAAAATACTGAGAAAATCGCCTTTAAAGTTGTCCAAATTACTAATCAAAAATTAAGTTTTTTTTTATTTACAGTAGGAAATTTACAAAATATCTTCATGGAACATTATCTTTACTTAATGTCCTAATGATTTTTGGCATAAAAGAAAAATAAATAATTTTCACCCATACAATGTATTTTTGTCTATTGCTACAAATATACCCCAACGACTTAAGACTGGTTTTGAGGTCCAGGGTCACATATGAAGTATGCATGTATCTGTGTGAATGAGTATGTGTAGTAGACAAAACTAAAAGGTATATGCATTCATTTGATTACCACCATTTTTGATGATACATTTGTGTTAAATAATGAAAAAGAATCCAGATAAATTAAAAACAGACAACACAGAATTTCTGGAAAAAAAAATCCATAAGGCACTTTTGTTGAATAAATTATTAAATTGTTAGTTTTATTAATTCAATTGATCAGATGTCCTTCTTTATTATTAAACTAATTAAACTATTAAAACAGAATCCAGAATTGCTGACTGTGCACAACAGCAGCTGTGATTAGTGTAGTCCAATTTGTGATTAAGTAACTCTTTTAAGCCTTTAATAAAGCTTTCCTTTAATGAATCCGCAAAAATGATTTAAGAATCTGCCAGGACTCTTTGCCTTATTTTGAATCAGTGTAATGAATCAGTCAGAGTGGTTCTTCATTCACAGCAGTTACTTTCACATTTCCAACTCAAACCTAATCAAGATTTGTTACTTTTTGTTTACTTAAGGTCCAGACGAATCAATATAATTTCTGTCTGGTAGATAAAAAAAATTCAAGATCAGTCTTGAACTCTTACCTTTTAGTTTTGAATAAGTCTAATGACTCTCAATGAATCAGAGTGGTTCTTGATTCACTGAATTGCAGTTACTTTCACATGTTTGATTCAATGAATCAAGGTTTTTGTGTTGTATACTTCGCTCAAATGAATCAGTATAATTTCTGGCTGATAGATGCACATTTAGACAGGGTTTTGTTGTAATAAATTGTAAACTTTTTTTTTTTAATAAAATCTTCTAAATATGTTGCAGAATAAATTATTTAATGTAAAATATAATCGAGCTAGATAATTGATATTTTTGTTGAGTTTGATTGCATTTGGTTGTGTTTGTCTCCTAGCTCATGGAGGTTACAGGCAAAAATCAGGATGAGTGTATGGTGGCCCTTCACGACTGCAATGGGGACGTCAACAGGGCTATCAACTTCCTGCTGGAGGAGGTCACTGTCAAGGTGCGTTCTTTGCTACAGCTGATCATGTTTTACTCATTTCTGATTCAGTGTCTTTTGTAATTGCATTAATCATACCAGAAAAACTAGACTGAGTTGAAATAATGTCATGGAGCTTTTCCAACTTTACTAGCCTGCCATACTAGTTACTAAGCTGCTATAGGTCTTTGATAAACGGTTATGAGGTTAATAAACCCATGTTTCTGATTCTGTTTTGAATTTTTCTCAACGCTACTTTGATTGCACAGGACTCATGGGAGACAGTTGGCAAGAAGAAAAGTGTTGGAAAAGAAGGGACGGCTCCAGAGAGCAGGGAGAAGAGAGGAGAGAAGGAAGGCAGAGGCCGCGGAGGTCCAAACAGACGTGGCCGAGGGGCCAGCCACAACCAGGAAGGTGTGTCTTTCTGTGTGCTTAGTGTGTACATGTCCTAACTTGTGTGTATGGATTGTGTTTTAAGGCGAGGTGTCTAATGAGGCCGCATAATAATGTTGTTGCGGTGATTGGAGATCAGGTGTACAGGTATTCACTGTTCTTGGACTTTGTTTTTTAGGGCGGTCGGAAGAGAACGGGTTTGATTCAGCTCCAGGAGTGAGAGGAGGAGACCGTGGGCGCAGAGGAAGAGGGAGCGGTAAGTGCATTATATGAACTCATTACTGCTCACTAATACACTGCTGCCCCCAGATGCGGTTTTTAAGTTGGATTAGCTGCGAAAAATGAGCTGTCGATTATTCAGAAATATGTTGAAAACTAACACTACCATTCAAAAGATTGGGATTGGTAGGATTTTTTGTCTGTGTGTTTTTGATCAACATCTCATTTGTCCAAAAATACAGTAAAACAGTAAATATAGTAAAATTATTACAATATTTAAAATATGTTTTTTAGGGCGGTCGGAAGAGAACGGGTTTGATTCAGCTCCAGGAGTGAGAGGAGGAGACCGTGGGCGCAGAGGAAGAGGGAGCGGTAAGTGCATTATATGAACTCATTACTGCTCACTAATACACTGCTGCCCCCAGATGCGGTTTTTAAGTTGGATTAGCTGCGAAAAATGAGCTGTCGATTATTCAGAAATATGTTGAAAACTAACACTACCATTCAAAAGATTGGGATTGGTAGGATTTTTTGTCTGTGTGTTTTTGATCAACATCTCATTTGTCCAAAAATACAGTAAAACAGTAAATATAGTGAAAAATTATTACAATTTAAAATAACAGTTTTCCAGGTTAAATGTATTTTAAAGTGAATTTTCAGCGTCATTACTCCAGTCTTTAGAGTCACATGATCCTTCAGAAATCATCCTAATATGATTTGCTGCTCAAACTTTTCTTTACACATTTACACTGGTACAAAAACATCAGGGCCAGTATTCACAAAACATCTTAAGCCTAAAAGTAGCTCATAACTCACCAATTTAGAAGAAAGTCTTAAAAATAATGGGCGTGTCAGTCCTAAATTTAGGACTCCTAAATTTTTGTAAAAGGTATCTGCTTTGGTTTGGAGGTTATCCCAATTTTTTATTATGTCCTTGTTTTCATTAACCAGTTGGGCAAGCAACAGCTGTTCTCGCGTACAGTTTCGTTTTCTTTTATGATTGCATGTCTTACTATCTGCCATGATTATTCTACTCTGTTAATTAATAAAATAAAAAAACGCCTCTTAGCATACTGTGATGCCATCTCCCAGCAGGACGAGACCAAACCAATAAAACCCATTACAAATCAGGCATTTGTTGCATCCAGTGGTGACATAATTACTGATTATAATGACTTATACTGTCTTTTTACACGTTGCGTATCGCGCTGTGTAAACATAAAACCATATCTGCATTTGTGATCGGAGAAACAACAAACAACAAGCCTACTCTACACTGCTCAAAACTCGTGTTTGAATCATCAGTGGCAAGTTATTTAAATATAAATAAAGTATTACTGGCTTATAGACTTACAGGCTGTGAGTCAGAAGTGCCAGACTGTCCTTGCAAAGTTGGAACTGCCCCTTAGCTAAAAACTTTTACTGCTATTTAGGAGAACTCTTAGTGGTAAGATAAAATGTTTTGTGGATACTGTGAATTTTGTGAATTTTTTTCGCATGCGATCTGAGCCACTTCCATAAAAAAAAAAAAATCAGATACATATCCGATATCTGGACATCCGACCTACGTCTAAACATACAGATCCGATTCCCCTCAGAACTCCCAATGCGAGGGAAACACGTTTGCCCATAAAGATTGTGCTTTAATGCCGATGTGCTGTATGCGCTCACATTTTCTCTCTCTCGTTAATTCATTTGAATTCATTTCAATAAATATCATCTTGGTGCTACTTGATTTCACTAAAGAATTCTACCTTGAATTAGCTGTAGATAAAAGCCTAACAAATGTAAATTACCGTTATTTTCTGGTCTTTTGGGTGGGAATTAATGTAAACACAGATATCTGATACCAGTCATGTCTAGAGGTCCGACCGATAGTGGATTTTACTGATACCGATAGCTAGGTTGGACCACACTGGCCGATACCGATTAATCAACCGATAGTTTTTAAAATGGATACTTAACAAAAAATTTAAATAGTGCATTTATATTGTCGAACTTTTTTTGAAAAAATGCACAATACACAATTTTACAGCCTAGGGTGAAGTCATTATGTACATTAACAATGATTTGGGACAAATATAATGTAATTTAATGTAAAACTGTGTGAATGGCGCTGCGGCGCAGCAGGATTTCTGTCGGCTGAATATCAGAATCATTCTCGCGTCACTAGGGTTGGGTATCGAAAACCGGTTCCATTTTTAGAACCGGTTCCAAATTTTAAAGAACCGGGTATTCGATAAGACGCGTGCATTTTGATTCTGCTTCATGATTCCTG